TTCCTCTAACAAAATCTAACAATTTGAGAGAACCTTGAGTTCTAGGCATGTTGTAGCACAAGATAATTAGTGTGCGGTCCATTTTAATTTATATAGTGCTCTGTGAACACAAATTAGTTAGCATAAACCAGTTAAATGACGAAAAATTACGTGTCTATTTACTTGTGACCACTCAGTGTGTGTGTGTGTATATACATGTATATATATATCTTTTTTTTTTCCTTCTTCTTTTTGCTCTGTTACACCCTAAGTGTTTTGAGTTATTATTATTTATGCCCTCTTAATACATACCTACAGCACAATATGATCAGCTGATTTAGTTTTGTGATTGCAGTGGTGGATAAAATATTGAAAAATGTCTTCCACAATGGACAGAAACTGTAGTTTTTCATTGTTTGTATTTTTTTTATCATTTGTGTAATTTTAGTTTCTATTTCATTTACTTGTTGTCTTAAGTTTTCATTTTGGCCATTTTCTGTTAAATTTTCATTAACTAATACACACAGCTGGTAGAGGTATGTTGTTTTTAGTTAATTTTTAACTGTTGTTGAAATGATGTAGTGCTTTTCTGTACTTCTTTTGTTGGGATTCTAGCACTGGATACAGAATTCAGAAACGTTGTGACGTGAAGGGGCCAAAAATATGAGAAGGCAGTTTTGTGCAATATATCAAATAACCATTGATTATTGCTGTTATATCATAATTTCATAATAGTTTTGACTGTTTTTTAAATATTCTGTAATGTCAGTCAACAGTGTAGTAATCTTTTCAAGGTAGAAAATTTGTGACATCTTTATGTACAGTGTATACAATTTTTATTGAGGTAAGCATAATATGAAATAGTAAGAAATCAAATCTCTTGGTTGGTTCAATTATGATGAACTATATTTTATAGCTAGTTTTGATAAGTTTATAAGTTATTAATACAAAAAAAACAAAAAAACGATACCTTCTAACCTAAGCGCTGTCGAAAGGTTGTCCTTTCTTCTTCAGGGGCAAACTGCTTGTGTTTGGTATTAACATCAAACATCAAAACTAAAGTCTAGTATCATTGAAGCAGTTACCAATCGCCATTTTTATTTATTGCCAGATGTGATTGGTATTATATATATATATATATGAACATATTAAGATATCATTACTTCATATACATAAAACTTCAAAGAAAGCTGCATTTGTATGTTATTTTATAGTTGGGCCACAGCAGTTTACTTTGGATTGTAAACTGTATTGACTATTCAATTGTGTGAGCTGATCTATTTTATATATAAATGTTTGTGTGTGTGTAATATATGTATATAATATTTATTTCACAGGTAGGGAATTTTGACCCATATAGTGATGACCCACGTCTTGCAGTTAAAAAGATCATTCTTTGTGCCCTAAGTGGAATTCTGGTTGTAGCAGGTACTGCTGGGCAAGTAATTGTTCTTGAAATTAAAGAGGAAGTCACAGAAAAGGAAATTGAGGTGAGTTACCCTGTAGTGCTGAATATTGCTAAGTCATGGTTAGGGTAGTTCATGTTCATTGACTTAATTTAAATACTCTTAAGGAGTATTCATTATAAAGTAATTTGAATAAATAGTTACTAGTTAGCTTGTATAATAAAACTGTCATTAGAAATACAAAGTTTATAAGAAGACTAAAAGCCTACTGACAACTAGGGGAGGGGGGTCAAATTTCAGATTTGAAACTTATTTAATGAAAAGATAAATTTATTTAATTCTGTACATAAAAGATGTATTGAAAATTTGCAAATTTTTATTTCAATGTGATGTAGACAAGATTATTACGGTTTGAGAATTTCCTGAATTTTTCTTAACATATTACAGAACTTGTAGTCTCCTAGGAGGAAAGCCAAAATAGTGCTAATTTAACTCTTGTAACTTCAATACAGTCACTGTTTCTTAACTTCTTTTTTCATGGTGTGATGTAATTTCTATCTCACAATTTTCAGAAGTTGTAGGTTAGTGATCTTAACATATAATAAAAGCTATATTTTTATTTTTTTTCAAGCCAATTCCAGTTCATGGAGATTGGTGTAGAGATCAGAACAGAGATAAAAGCTTAACTTGGTGATATGTTGCTAGAAGAAAATATGTTTGTGAACAACTTCCACCACAATTATAATCTTGATATTTTAACTCTCTCGCTATGAGGTCTGTCGAATTGTCTG